TGCACCTTGTTGTCTCGGATTCTCCAGCATCTGCAGTTCCTACTATCTCTATTAAATAGCACACTTAAGAAAGACCTAAAGTTAAACAACACCTGAAAGCTGCCAACCATTAGCTAAAATTAATGGCTAGCTCTTTCCTTTTAGTACTGTTACTGTATTTTTGTGTTTCAATCTCAACTGATATCTGAAATAGAAGTTCCAAAAGAAAAAGCAGCATTTTAAAATAAATGGTGTATCCTTGTTTGTCATAATTTGAACAGTAGCTAAACCATTAGAAATATGCATTGATTCCTTTACAAATAGTGACAATTGTTGATCTTAGAATTGTTATTTTTCACATTCTTATTAGCTCCTGGGGGCGGGTGTGGTGGCAAAGAATTAAGGATACCCTTGAAATGTAATGCTTCAAAAATCAGTTGTCTCCAGTTGCTAAATGTTTGTTTTTGCTTGGGCATGGGCTCATTGTGTCAAGACCACTACCAATTCGCTCATACTTTCACTGCAGTGAAATGTTATCTACCCTTCTCTCCAGTAAAACTTTTTTTCTCTCTTTTCTCTTTACTTCCCAAATTTTGCAGTGAACAATGCTGCAATGAATTTTCCCTCCTGTTCATTCAAGGATCCAAACATGCCACAATCTTTCTGCGTTAAAATGAAAACTCATCAACAGTTTCCTAATTCATTCGTTCCTCAGGCCTCTAAACTATAGAACTCTTCACCCTCCCCTGTCCTCCCTTACATTTTCAAGAATTAGGTTAACAGGTATTTGTTGAATCACAGTGTAAACAGTTACAGAGAAAAGTCAGGTAAGTGGAGTTGAGGCAGAGATCAACCATAATGAGAATAGCTTGGAGAGGCTGAAGCAAAACAGAAAGTGCTGGAGAATCGCAGGAGATCTGGCAGCATCTGTGAAGAGAAAAGTAGTGCTGCAAGTCTGGTGACCCTTCATCAGAACAATTCTGACAAAGAAGTTTTGGACCTGAGACATTAACTCCGTTTTCTCTCCACAAATGCTACCACGCCCCCTGAGTTTCTCCAGTACTTTCTGTTTTTATTCGGATCGCCAGCACCTGCAGTTCTTTGCTTTATTTTAGCTTGGAGAGGGTGAATTGCCCAATCCTGCTCCTATACCTTCTATGTCTCTACCAAAAAGGTTTAAAAGGTTAATGTAAAATGAATTAAATCATTGATTTTAACTTATCTCAACGGCTTCTGTAAATTTTCCAATCTTGGTGCTGTTGTAAACAATGAGCTTTGGCTGTGAACCAGAACTGTGAACCTCTTAATACAGCAGTGAAAATAAAATGACTTCAAATGGTGCACTGCAGACATGAATAAAACAAAAATATATTCATTTTACACAGTCCTTTACTGAACAAGAAACTCTGTATATTAACCCACTGGCTGCTTTAAGAAATTGATACTGTACAACATTATAATGTACAAGTATTTAATGACACAATAGTAGCCTTAAATACAAATTTAACTTTAAACTCACCAAATGATGGCACTCGATATCCCTTTTGACTTTCAGTTGTAAGCAACAATTTATTTTGAGTTCTGCCAACATTGCTGTCAGATAACAATTCTTTGTGCGCTCTTGTGACAGTTGGTGACTGCGGAATACTGGGAAGGGTTCGAGACTTTGCCAAGAGTGGTCGCTGCAACTTCCTGTCTAAAGATCTAAGAAGAAACCACAAAAGCAATTCCACCTTAATGCACAAAAAATATGCAGCCTGTTGTTGCTTTTATTATTATTATTATTAACAAAAGAAGAACAGCTGAATACATTCATTCCGCAAAGTAATTTAAGTTTCCAATATGTAATTTGGTCATAAAATGGTGTGTTTGGTGGAATTCATCAATATGGTATTTGTTAACAAAACAATAATCGTCTAAGAGTTTGTTCAGTTTGTCAGAAGGTAATTTAATGTCATAAGAGACCCTTATCTCTATGGTAACAAGCTATAAACTAAGCCTTTTAAAGACAGAAAGCTTAAGAAACATTACCTTATGGCACATAACAAATTGAGAAATGTCACTGCAGCTTCAGCTTTAATCAATCACAGATAAGACAGCAAAACAGATTTGTGAAGTAAGCCAAACTGCCCTCTACTCTGACCTAACAACATGCTTGCACTCCAGTCTCAGACAGCAAGACCTAGTGCACAATTTTAATATTGCTAGTTTTCACATCAGTAATCGCTCAGAGGGACAATTTTTAGTAGAATTCTGAAACAGTCTCATTGTTGCTATGGAAACATCACTGGTTGGGAACATGTATAGTCAGTCTTCTTGCGAATATCAATGTCTTTCCAAAACCAATTCCAAGTGGCAAAGCATTCAACACTGACTTATGAAATTACTTACAACCTAAATAAATTGACCAGACATGCAGTCCATTTTACTTCATATGACAATTATAGCTCTCCCTCCCAACTCCATGCTATATGCCATAGAAGTGATGGCATTATTTACACAAATTGCATTTTTACCCAAAAGTGTACACAAAACTGCCAGAACATCATGCATAATATGCTTTCACACTTAGGGTGCTTTTACCAGACAGACTTATCGATCACATCATCTTTTGTTAATCTTACCAATGCATAATTCGGTATTCCGATTGTAACTTTACTTGATTATTATGTTTTAGGATTGTAGTTTTTGGTATATGCGATTATTATAGCTTGGGACAGCAGCTTTATGTGTAAGGTAAATGAATGCAGTGATGTAACCTGTTTAGGTATCTCCTTCACAGTACGTTTGGAAGGTTCAAGTGTTATAGATTGGAGAAAGAGTCAGGTTGCTTTATTAAGAGGGAGGTGCAAGGTATTAACACATGGGCATAATGTCAACAGTTTCTAAGTCGGGAACGAATGGACCCCAAGCCTCCCAATGTCCCAGAAAGGTGCTATGGATAAAGCGGGAAACAGTTGGGCTTAAACTATTCCTTTACTTCAAAGATGAAAGGAAGTTGGAGTCAAAGATAACTAATCAGCATTTCAACTAAGATACTTTGCAATGGAAAAGAAGAGAGAGGAGATGAAATGACATTTCCTGTAAATCAATGAATGTTACAATCAACAGGTATGGTTTTGTCTTGTTTGTGCTGTAGCCAACTGAGAGGAGATGGCAAGAGATACAATCAGCCAGGCCTGCAGCTTAAGCAGAGAAAATGCTGTCACTGTCGTCCACCACACAGAATGCAAGTGGGAAGTCATGTTCAGACTGAATTTTTGAGAAGTGAAAGGAGGCTGGAAGACTTCCCTAGCTTGGACCTAGAGGAAGAAATCTATTGTATGACCCTCATTGTGAGAGATAGTTTTGGTGATTGGGAAAGTAAAATGGAAGCAGCCCCTGGGAACAACTGGGAACTATTTGTTAAAAGAACTATAATTCTATGGACAGTGAAAAGTAAAAGGGAATTGTTTATTTCTATAGGTTAAAGTACAAATTGCCTATAAAGTGAAACATGTTTAGTCACTAGTGTTTACTTAGTTTTAAAATGTGAAGTCTTAGCATATTATTGTTTTATCTGTTAAGTGGAAGTTTAGATCTCTCTATGAAAGTTATCAGTCTCTGTGGAGATCATAACAAAATGTACATAGTGAATTTTTCCATAAAGAAATGTTATATTTGTAACAATGTACATGCGTGTCCTAATTGCTAACCATTTGCTCCTTCTAAAATGTTTTCCAATGGGAGTAAGAGGTTAGATGGGCGGTTATTATGTGTAAAATGCTTACCTCGTGGGATAGAACTAGAGCTGAGTTGGTAGATAGCCATTCAACTACATGCACTAGTGTATTGATACAAAGATTGATTGAACCAGGATGCTTCAGAATGTATTACTAGTCATTTAACTGAAGTGGTTGGGAGTTTTTGGTATGACATCATGCATCCATCATCAATGCCAATTCCCAGCATTGCCTGGCTGCTGGTCTCTGCCTCAGCATAGTTACAGAGCTGAGTGGAAACAAATTGCTGGACATTAGTAAGGCATGTGATCGTCAGCCACCCAAAACTGTTGAGATGAAGACTATAGATTCTTAGGACTTGTAACAGAAAGACAGGGTGTCTTGCGGCACAACAAATAGCATCCTCGCCTCTGAGCTAAAAGATCTGGGTTCAAACCTTACTCCAGATCTCGAAGGCCAAGGAAGGTGTATTTGTAACAGGGCCAAACAGATGGAACATCAGATGAAAAATGTAAGAACAATGGATGCTGGAAATCAGAAACCAAAACAGAAATTGCTGGAAAAGCTCAGCAGGTCTGGCAGCACAGATTCCTCCAATACATAAATTGTGTTTATGAGGCTGATTGAGGCAGAATTGCTGGTGCTTTGTACAGATCTGCTATTTGAATCTGCTAGGTTGCAAGTGATCATCTAAGCGCTTCATCAGAACAAATCAAAATCAAATACTCTCAAAGGTGAAAAGGTCTCATTAGATCAGCATAATCCCTCAGGAGAAACATTAGGCATCAGATGAATCCTGAAGACTTATTCAGGATTTCATCGAATTGCTTCATATTGATTGACTCATCTTCAATAGGATGTTTAGCAAGCAAACTTCACCTTAGTTCAACAGGGACATAACAACAGATGCAGAAACATACTATATCTTTTAGAAGAACACGGACACATTTCTCATGCATCTAACATAAAATGAAATTATAAAATTGTATCGGTTTATACAGCCAAGTACCTTCAGGGATGTACCTGAGTTTCTTCACTTGTTCAAGAAATGTGAGTGTAATTGGCAAAGCCAGTATCTGTTGCTGATCACTAAGTGCTGCAGACAAGCTAGTGATGAGAGACCTTCTTGAACTACTACATTTCATCTGGTGTAAGTACACCCACAGTGTTGTAAGGCACAATACTCCAGCATTTTCACACAGCAACAGCAAAGGAACAGCAATATAGTTTCAAGTTGGGATGTGTTGCATGGAGAAGAACTTGCAGGTGGTGGTGTTCCCATGCATTTTTTGCTCATTCTTCCAGGTGTAAGAAATGATGAGGTTTAAAGGTGTTATCGGAACAGGTTTGGCAAATTGCTGTGGTGCATCTGTAGAAGTGGGTAGGTTGCTGATCAAGGGGGCTATTTTACCCAGGAAACTGGCAAGCTTCTTCCAGGGAAGTAGCACTTAACTCATCACATCCCTGACTTGCTGGTGGGCAGGCTTTCATGAGTCAGGATTAATCGCCTTTAAAGTGATTTCCAGAATGTGATCCTCATTATCCTTCATTCCTCATTCTTATGCCAAAACCCAGATCCCATAATTTTCTATTTTGAATCTGTTGAAATTGTCGCCATTGCAGATTAAAAAGAACCTTTTTCTCTTTAAGAAGAAGAGGGAGGTTTTTTTTAGTTTTCTTGAAACTAAAGCATATCAATGCTGGAAACAAAAACTGCTGTGAATGTTAGTACCCAAGATTAAATTTCCAGACCACGTGCTCGTGGTGAAGAATAATGTCCACTATCAGTCGTAAAATGAGAAGGAATGCGATTCTACATAATTTAACAAGTTGCAGCAGAAACGTTTTTTATTAACTTCATATATGTTGATTGTTCCAGATCAAATCTTAGGTCACCTATCCTGTAATTTAAACAAGAAATAGTGGCAGTGCGGAGGAAAACTAGTTACATATTCAGGCAAGATACCAATAAGTACAGAAATTTGACCGATGAGGAAGTTGTGAATAAAGCTCTAAAAGATGCATTTGTTCCTTTGTTGTCACCATAGCTGAAATGGAGATATTGGAATTCCTTTGCCTCTTCTCTGGCTTTCTTCAAGTTTCCCTCAATTCGCATCTCAATATTATCCACCATCCAATTTGTCTTCTTTCTCATATGATAAAAATCTATAGTACATGTTAATCATTTGGAAATTTGGATTTTAAAGTAGAAGAAAATGGATTTTGTTTTTTGTACTGTGAAAATAACTTATTTTCTTTGAGAGGTCAGAAAGTCATTTTTGAACACAATGAGTTCAAACAGCATTTCCAGGAAATCGTGTCTGTTCTGATCTCAACTGATGGCAATAATGGACAAGACAGATCCCAGAATCAAACCTGACTTGATAGATCATGTCTCATTTTTGCAGTTGGTTACCATGGCAGTTATTCATACAAGGCTGCAGATGTTCTTTACCAACAGAACATAACTTTATTCCACAAAATTTAAAAAACAAGCACTGCAAAAAATTTCTTTGTATGACAGATGTAAAGATCCTAACACAAACAGCAAAAACAAAGCTTCAACCTGTTCCCAATACTGCCATTTTACACATAACCAATTCCAGAGACAAATATAACTTAACTGACGCTTCGTAGCTATTTTTCCTTGGACTGTTGAGACACTTTTACAAAGCTATTCAAAGTCTGCTGGCATGAACCTTTCACAATTCTGATGACACACACTTTTTTTACTTCGAACAAATTGAAGACCTCTGTACAAACTCTCCCAGATTGGAAACTGCAAGAACTTATAACACTCAAGTTCTGATGACTGTGTTCCCCAAATTAAAACTAGATTACCTGTTGGGAGAAAACTGCATATCCCATTGAACTGAACTCCTGATTCTTCTAAACTGAAATGAAGGCAAAAGCCAAATTAATGGTCTCTGGTCTGTTTGTGAATTCAGCAGTAGAAATATTCCATCCATCAGCACAACAGGT